AAGGCACTCACACAGCACAGAGCTTTTCATTCAAATACAAAAATTGCTCTATCATCAGGATCGGTACCTCAGGATCACTATCACCATAACCACCTCCATGATCATCATCATCATCATCACTACTCTGTTTAAACATCTAACTACAAACAAAAGACAAGAATGATGACTGGATACCTCTTACCTCTGGTGGCTTTTCTTCTTCAGATTCAGACTCAGAACTTTCAGATTGTAAGAAAGTTGATGAACAAACCGATTCTGAGGAATTTAACAAGTCCACTTATAAGAATGTTCTTGGTAAAAGAAGTCATGGTAAAAGTAAAGCAGTTAAAAGGGAGAAATAGAAGTGACTAAAGGCATATATTTATTAATTTTCCCTGTGCTTTTCGAATTTAATGATAACTTTAATATTCATACTGCTCATATTTCATATGCATAATATGTTCACATAATTTTTTAGCTAGTCGGCACATAGGTCTGATTSATACTTCAATGAAGAAAGTTAGAATTCTTCCAACAAATATGCACTCCCACCCAAATATTTTATGAATGGGATCAAAGAGAAGATTACTGGCTACTAGAGCCTTCAAACCTTCAAAATGTTATCAATACCCTGAAACAGCTTCTGGGTTGATCAAAGTCAGGGCATGAATTGCTCATAGATTGAAATTGAGTGTTTGAGGTTTTGTGAGGGGTGGTAGGTCAGAGAAACACCCTTGAATCAACAGAGACCTAATAGTTAAGTTTATTAGTACCTTTTGTACTATTTAGTATTACCCTCAATACATAGAGGCTTTGTTATCATTATCATTATCATTATCATTATCATTATCATATTATCATTATCATTATCATATTATCATTATTATTATCATTAATAAACTTTATTCACCCATTTGATGCCAAGTCTGGGAATCAAACCCGAGACCACAGAGGTGTGATTTGAGCTTGCACTACCACTAAAGCATATACCCTTAGTGACTCACCCAATGTTTATTATGCTTACCTGGTTTTGATGGGGCAAAGCTAGTCCTGTTCACATACGGCGGTGGAGGTCTAGGAGGGGCTGAATGATTTTTCACTTCTGGAGCAGCAGTTGCTTCATGTTCTTTGTCTATAAGGGGAGAAACACCAGGAGCTTTTGGTCTAGGCGGTGCAGGCCGCTTTGGTTTTGGAGATGATTTCGACTGATCCTTGTGTGGTGAAGGAGGTGGAAGCACTTCTTCTATCATTTCAGGTGATCCATCTGCTTCCCTGTGCCTTGGTTTTGGCTGCAGTATCACCCTAGGTATAGCCTCAGAGTTCTGCTGTGTATTTCCAGCTATTGTCCTTGGTATCGGCACAGGTACAGGCTTGAAATCTTTATCTTCTTCTCCACTCATAGAATCTTTGTTTTCATTTATGGACCCCTCTGTGATACTTTTCCGTGGTGGTTTAGGAGGAGCATGTTTGAAAGACAATGGAAGTTGATTTCTGGATGTTAAAACCRAAGATCTACTAGAACGACTAAGTCCTCCTTCCTCCAGCGAGGTCAAATCTGAAGATGGCTCGGATTCTTTTGCCACAGGATTACTAGGAACAGAGTACACAGATTCCTCTTCACATTCAGAAGGCTGTCTCACTCTTTCTGTTTCGGCATGCATCTCCCTTGGAACAGAAACGGCAGGAGTTGGAACTGAGTACATCCCTTCCTCTTCTTCTGATCCAGAAGAGTGCTCTGTCCTTGATCCTCTATGAACAGTAGAAGATGTAGGGACAGAATACACACCTTCTTTTTCTTCTGAACCAGTTGTAGACCTTAATCTTGGCGGCACCTGGTACACAGCTTCTGTAGATTCTTCTCTCACTAATGACTGAGGAACATGATATTCAGACTCAAAAACTGGAGAAGCCTGAGTGGGAGAAGCCTGAGTAGTAGTTGTTGTTCTGAGAGCCTTGGGTACGACGTAGGTATCATCATTTTCAGAAGATTCAGTAGAATTTCTTGATCTAGGCACAACATAGGTCTGCTCTGCTACAGTCTTTGATCTGGGCTTAGGTTTAGGTACTTGATACTCTGATTCAGACTTTCGTTCAAGGGAACCTATTGACGATGACCGCGATATACGAACTATCTTTTTGTCCGATGTATGTGAATGAAACGAACTACGTCGTGGAACCTCATAGATACTGGGGCTTCCGTTTTCTTGGCTTTTATCTACTTCAGTGCGTAAAATGACATTTTCATATCCTRGAAATGGCTTTTGTAGGACACACTGTTGTGAATTTTGTGAAGGCTCAGGCAGCACTTCTTTATTTGATGCATTAAGTACGACGCTTTCATATGGTGCAACAGGCTTTGATTGTGTTTTTTCTTCTTTGCAGTTTTCTTCTATTTGTGATTCAACCAATGGTTTACTGACTGTTATAGTTTCAGTTTCTGTATTATTGCTCTTTGCTAGTTTCTTGAGGCGACTTGGCCTTCTTGGTCTAATGGGCTCATTTAGAGAAAAAGGGTCCTTCTTCTGATTAAAAAGTTCTGTTTTTGAAGATATGGTTTCCTTTTGAGAAACACTTTCAAGAATTTCTTCTTCACTCATTTCCCCAATTTTCTCTGGTTTTGCCTGATCCTCAATATCCATTTGAATGTCCTTATCTCTTGAACTGTTTGCCGTAAAGACAAGTTTTTCAGAATCTGTTTCTGTAGGAACATCTTGCTTGGAAGATAACACACCACGTTGATCTGTGTCAGTTGCTATTCCCTGCACCTCTTCCATGCTAGTCTGGGTTTTATTTATTTGCCTTGAAAGTTCCTGTTCTGCTGCTGTTTTAATCATTCCTTCCTGAAGTAATGAATTTTCTTCTTTTGTTAAGCTACTCSGCTGCTCAAGAGAAGCTTCATAAAAACCTTCAAGTTTTGATTCATTTTGTTGCAGAGCATCTGCAATTGTTTCTTCTTTCACTTCTTTCTTCTCGTTTATTTGATCCTCACACTSTTTGTCTTCTGTCATCGCATCTTTATCCACATCTACAGTTTCCTCCCTTTCTCCTTTTTCTAAGTTTTCTACTCCTGGTACTGAATCAGGCTTTGATTCATTTTGTCTCAGAGCATCTGCAATTGTTTCTTCTTTTGCTTCTTCCTTCTTGTTTATTTCATCCTCACACTGTTTCTCTTCTGTCATCGCATCTTTATCCACATCTACAGTTTCCTCCCTTTCTCCTTCTTCTAAGTTCTCTACTCCTGATACTGAATCAGGCTTTGATTCATTTTGTCTCAGAGCATCTGCAATTGTTTCTTTTTTCGCTTCTTCCTTCTCGTTTATTTCATCCTCACACAGTTTGTCTTCCGTCATCCCATCTTTATCTACATCTACAGTTTCCTCTCTTTCTTCTTCTTCTAAGTTCTTTACTCCTGGTACTGAATCAGGCTTTGATTCATTTTGTTGCAGAGCATCTGCAATTGTTTCTTTTTTCGCTTCTTCCTTCTTGTTGATTTCATCCTCACACTGTTTGTCTTYTGTCATCGCATCTTTATCCACATCCTTCCTTTCTCCTTCTTCTAAACTCTCTACTCCTGGTACTGAATCATTCTGGTTATGCTTCTCTTCATCTACAGCTAGCTCAACCTCTTTAGGGATTATCTCAAGAATTTCATCAGTGTCTAATTGTTGCACATCACTTTGTTCAACTCCAGTAATGGCTTCTGACTTATCCTGCTCGCTAGAGTTTTCTTCACCTACTGCAGTTTCTTCACTCAAATGAGACTCGTTTTCATCACAAACTGCAGATTCATCTACTTGCTGTACTTCCTCCTTCTCTAGAGACTCATCAACACCAATTATTTTTTCATCTTCACCCACAGTCCCGTTGCTGTTGTCAACCAAAGATGAACAACTGATTTCATTATAAGTTTCAATTTTTTTCTCAGTGGAGTCTTCTACTGCCATATCTATTGGCATGATCTCCTCAAGGTGTTCTGTTGTTTGAGTAAGGCTTGTTGTATCTCTGTTAAATAATGATTGTCTATTCTCAAAGTCATCACCTTCAAGATGCCCGTTTGCCATAATTTCTCCACCTTCAGCTGTATCCGTAGTTTTTTCTTCTGGAACCTCTAGACTCTTTTCTTCAACCTCTAAGCTCAATTCACTAGCAAATGGCAATTCCTTGCACAATTCAGCACCTCTCAAACTATCCATATTTTCTAACGAAACAGAAAGAGAAGGTTCATTTGCTTCCTCTACTACTTCCTTACCTTTGTCTTCATTTTGAACATCTACAACTCTTTCACTGTGTTCGTCTATCCTGACATCATTATCAGTACGGTTTCCAGTAAAACTTTCTTCACTTCTAACAATATCATCTTTTTCTATATCCTTTTTTTCATTAGCGTTATCTAAAATGTCTTGTTTAAAAATAGTTATTGATTCTTTATCGTCTTTAAAAATTTCTTCATTTAGTGTTCTATTATCTTTGTCATCTCGAGAAAAACCATTTGAAATTTCACCATTTTCAGACAAATCCTCAGCTAATGACGAACTCTGAGGCTGTAGTTCATGTGTTTCATTTTCTTCTTCCAATTCTGTATTTCCCACAGTTTGTTTCATAACACATTCTCCAGGTTTTTTGGYATCAAGTTGTAAAGTTCCTTTTCCTTCCATGCTTATGTCTTTTGTAAAGTTATCAACTGTTTTCTCTATCTTCTCCACTTCATCCTTTTTCTCCAGCCTAATCCTAAATGGCCCAGTTAATGATCTTTTACCTTTTGTCTCTACATTCTCAACATTATCCTCAGTCATATTTTCAGGCTTCCACGAACCAGTTTTCGGTAAAGTTGCTGATTTTTCCTTTCTTGTTACTATCGAGGGTTTCACAGGCCTGATTGGTTTTGGAGGTACAGGGGGTTTTGGTTTCCTAGGTAATGATGATGATTTACTCGGAGGAGGTGGTCTCTGAGGTGGTGTTTTTGGGCTTCCAGGAGATGATGCAGCAGGTGTAGGTCTAGTTACTGGAGAAGGTCTTTTAGGTATGATTCTTTTCTGAGGTACTTTAGTTTCAAGAGAAGGTGATGATGGATGATATGGTGTAGGTCTAGGTGGTGGTTTCCTGGTAATTGTTGGCTTTTCAGTGGGTAGTGGCTTTGAAGGTTTAGGATGGACTACTGCTGGGCTATTAACATGCATTGAAAATGTTGACTTGTGTTGAAGTTGAGGACTTATCTGTTTTTTTTCTAGAGGCTTCTTTCTTCTTGGTGGTGGAACTGGTTTTGTTTTACCTTCTCCAGCCATTCTAACACAAGAAGTAACATACTGTAAGTGATTCATTTACAAAAAGATAAGTAGGCTTACATTGGTACGGCACCTGGGGGTCTGCAGATTTCTGGATTTGCCTTCAAAATTTAAGACTCTCCCCTCCACCCTCAGGCCAAACATTTTAACATCCAGCTCTATCTAGAATACTAACAATGTTGCAAACCATTTAAGTCCTAGAATTTATATATTGATACAATACAGTATGTTTCCAGAGCAAGGGATCAACCTATTTACAAGTATTTGCTACCTACTCCTCCCCCGAAAATACAATTCATCACCTCCCTTCCCCTCCATAGCCAAATAAATAACAGCTTCTAATGATGTAGGAGCCTACAGTGTATTATTGGAAAGTCATGATCTAACAATAAACTGACCTTTGCTCTCATTAGTCATGATTGATCATATGATCTATTGCTCAGTTTGTAAAACAATTAATAAGTAATACATTTGTAAAACAAAAAAAGTAAAACAATTTGAGGGGGAAGGGCATTATGTGACATTTTTAGGGCAAATTAAATATTGTTCAAAATTCAAAATCTTCAAAGAAATTGTTCCCCATAGTGTTCTAAATCTTTGCAATTTTTTATCTCACTCTGCTGTTGGGATTCCTAAGTTAGCAAAGTGAGGAAAGACCTTGGGAAGAGAGTAGGGAGAAAAAAGCAAAATTTGAGAGGTTACATCTGCTAAAACATTCTTAGCTTTTTACTCTCGTTCTGCTGTTGAGATCCCTATGCTAGAAAAGGGAGGGAAGAGCTTCRACAGAGAAGGGGAGTGAAAAGGAAATAAGAGAAGGTAATTCTTCTTTTTCATTGTGAACATGTATTACTTTGATCTAGCCCATGTTTTCTTACCAGGTTCATCCAAATCTGACAAAAATAATGTACCAGTACCATGTACAATGTACCAATTATTTTGGGATAAAAATTAGAAATCATTTTTAATTTGTAAATTTTTCAATAATTAAAAACATATATTACAAGGCTATCAATAATAGCTGGTCAGTCACTGCTGATGATGATTGGTGAAATTAGTTTTAGCATGGTCGCACCTCATATCTGGCTCAACATTACTGGTCAAAATGACCAGCAAGGCAACCAGTTCTGGCCAGATTTTGACCTATAACAAKCCATTATTTTTAGCCCTGTATCAAATGGTGTGGATTTCCTAATGCATGTAGATGTATAGAATGATCCACACAGTATAAATGAAATAAAAAAATCAAGAAGCATGTCAAATGTTGCTTTAGCAAGGAGCTTAACAAGGAAAAATATTAATATTAAGAAAAACATCAAGTTTTACTTACTTTTTCTCGTCACCCATTCCTGGCCCTAAAAAACATCAATATATAATATTAATGGTTGTGGATTTTGATTATTGGATGGCGATAGGTTTCCAAGGGCTTAACATAATGGGTGGTTAGTMACTGGTCATGATGATTGCYMAARWKAGTTTTAGCTTGGTCATRCCAGTTCTTGTTTCTGGCCCAAGGTTACTGGTATTTGACCAGACAAAATYCAATTCTAGCCAGAGATTGTCTGATGTCTCGCCATTTCGTAAGCCCTGTTTCCCTAGCAACGAGAAGACAAATTAGTCTGTTCAACAAAGCTTAGGATGGGCATAATGTAACTTAATTTAAAATATCTTAGTTCTAATTATAAGCCCTGCAAGAAAATACAAATTAATAGTAGATTTTAGGCTTTTGAGGTATATTCATTTTGAGGTCACATTCATGATAGAAAAAGTAACTTTATGGATTTCACATGTTTATATTGTTTATAAAAGATGATGTTTTGACTGCAGCTGTGGCAGTCTTCTTTCCAAACATCATGTTTTTTAAACACTTTAAAAACTGTAAAAACTGTTTAAGTATATTTTTTAAACTCTACATTAAACCTACAAAAAACAATGATTTCTTTACATCTACAACAACAACAGACTACATTGTGTTTGAGATAATAGCAAAGCATTTTTCTCCAATAACCCATATCATTAACAATGTATGCCAATTTTCTTTCTTTCTCTTTTAAGCTTTCCTTTGTAATATAACTACATCAATTATGTTTACTTAAAACCCCCTTTTCAGGAAAAATCACTAAAATTTCAATGCCCCCTATTTTCTCACAGAGGTCCCCTTCAATATAATTTAATTTATTTCATCAAAAGTCGTGTAGGATCAGTTAAATTTCCAAAAAATGTCAAGTTAAAGCTTGTAAGATTTAATCCTCTTACTAGATAAATTAAATCATTCATTAAGCCCTTTATATTAAAAGAGGATTTCCCAGGCACAGCTAGCTTGTCTGACAATCCTTTTAATTTAGCATTCATCAATTTATAACATTGATATAATCTGCAAATTCAATTGGAATGTAGAAAAACTACAAAAATATGAAACATTTAGTAGAGTGCATACCATCTCCCTGAAAAACTTTGTAAATCCCTCCCTGAAACCCTGTTTACACTTGCAATTTTTGCTGCGATTTTTTTGCAATATTGTCCATAATAAATAATGGTAAAGAATTTACTTGTAAAGTTTTTTTCAGGATACCAAGATTTTCCTAGACGAATGTCTCTTTTGAAGGAAAAGACAAAAGATTTCATATTTCCGAAAATTGCCACTAAAATCGCAGCAAAAATTGCCAGAGTAAACRKGGCTTGATATTGCACAAATTTGCACAAATTAGTARGTCCAGTAGACCTAGGTAGACTGTAGACCAACAAAAATTTGTACTAATTTCAACAATTTTGTTAAATTTTTAACAGATATATTCTTCGTTTGCAATAGAATCTGTCATAGYCGCCATGTTGGAAGAATTTGACAAAAGATTTTTAAATGAATTCTTTTGTTATATCTTCCAACATGGCAGACATCCCTTTTGTTTTCGTGCTCTCTTGGGATTGATTGCAAACCAAGAATAATGRTATGCACTCTATATACACAGTATTTCAAATTAATGGCCAGTCATCAGACTATGTCTGGTCAGAATCGTAACTTGTCTGGTCAAATCTTTGCCCTCTGCTCGTTATGTTACCAGTCATGTTAAACCAGAAACAMGGTATATATGTCTAAGCTGAAACAAACTCAATCAGGTCATCATCACTGSCCACTAAACAATCATTATTTTTGGTCTTGTATACACATCTCTACAGTGTATACAATGTAGTAAGCTAAAATATTACAAACACTTGAAAGATCTACAGCAATAACTAAACCAAAATAAAAAAACAAAAATAATTCTCTAAAGTTTTTAAAAAAGGCTGATAATTAATTTATTTATGAAAGCTTTATTTCGAATTTTAAATATGTTTTCTAATACAAAAATCTCTTAAAATTGAAGTGAGCAGTTAGCCTGAAAACCGTAGTTCTTTTCATGAAAGTAACGTCGAATATGTACGTAAGAGTGCATAGTCCATATTRAATATTTACATGACCTAACATTTCATAGCTGTCAAAATGGGGGAAAAAACAATGAATATAAGCTTTAACTCTATATTATTATCAAAAGCTTTCGGTTTTTCGGTATACACTTGATTCAGTCTCAATTAAAAATTATTGAAATAACAATCTGAAGCAAACAGGCTACAGAAAGGCATCCTTTAAAACCAGTTTTAGCTTGCAATTATGAAATAAAACAAGAAAACCGTATATCCTTATTGATCATCCTTTTTATTGCAGTATGATATTTACTGCAGTATGATATTTACTGAAGCATACAGTTCTGTATTTATACCTGATATCGATGTTAAAGTCCTTTCTTCACGAACTCTTTTCTTTTCTCTCTCCATAGAGGATRACTTGGACATAAAAGCTACATAAAAACAGAAGGAAAAGACCAAGGATTAAGATCAAAGCCCAAGCACGCGTCGAGAACAAGTACGACAGACTTGTTTGGAGCGCTTCCAATAAAAGGCGCATTTTAGCGGAAATGGAACAATATGAATGAATTGTCTTTGAAGACACAATAGTAACTATCGAAGTCACGTCATATCTATGTCAAGATTCTTAAATTATAAAGTAAGCATTTGATAAATATTCAGGTAATGAYTGGATCGAGTTTACTGCAACACCACCCCCTTGAATGCCTAAGAGTGACGGCATTTCACTTGACACAGATTCAGTAAAACATCATTCGTTCTTAATACATCTCACCTTCATAATTTTTTGCCTTTTCTCTGACATTCATAGTGACCTAAGATAGACGCAGCTCAATAGCAACAAAAGCGTTTCGTGTAGTTTTGCATTGCTTGYTGCGTAAAGATCCTGTAATCCAGCCTTTCCTTTCGATATTCTTCCTTATAAAATATGTTTAATGAAAGGCACTACTTCCTGTGGTCATGTGATTGTTTGGGTCAACACCGCTGACTTTCTGTACTTGAGACTGCAAGTACACCATACCCCAACCTACCCCTCCCTCCAAACTTTTATTACCTTTTTAACCCTTCCGCTAACGTAAGTAAGCTTTCGTTTAAGTTTCCTGCGTGGAGTATCCTCAATCAAATATCCAATCCAGACTGTATTATTGATCAGCTTTTGAGTGATCTCATTTCCATCTCATTCATCCTTTTTCATTCCCAGTAAATTTGACTTCTTCTGGACTTTGGCAGGGCGAGAGAGAGGGAAGTTTTTTCAAAACAAACTTCCTTATTTGCTTATTTTTTCTCTCTGCTTTCGATTGTATTCCAAAAACCAAAAAACAAGATAAAGCCAATGACATTTTCCAATTTTGTTTTATTTTTTTTTCGTGCTCAACATGAAAATGAAAATAGAACTGTAAAAGCATGAGAAAAATATAAACAGTCTGAATATTTGAGATTACACCATGATTTACATCAAAATCATTTATATACTAAATCTAGGTTTTATCAGGGAATTTGGTTTAACCCAGGAATTTGGTTAACACAGGAATTTTCATTGAAGAATGCTTTGGTAACAGAGCAAAATTCTCCGGCTTAAACAGTTACTATCATTATGATCTTCTACTATTTCGAAACTTAATGAAAACACTGATAACAAACATTAATCATGCAATGCTTTCCCATTTCAGACCAGCTRTCATTTCCTCTGGAATAATTTCAGGGGCAGATCTAAGGGAGGGGTGCAGGGGGAAGTGCACCCCCTCCCCCAACCCCCTGCATCCACAGATGAGCTGATATCTGCTGCTTTACCAATGTATAAGTTTGTGAGCAAAGGGTGTACCCAAACGTAAAATGAAAATCTTAGATGATGCACCCCCTTAAAAAAAAACCTGGATCCACCCCCAAATTTCTTTAAGGATCCCAAAGAATCTCATTCCTTAGAATGACATGGTCTGAAGTCAAAAAAAATTACACCCAAATGAATTGTTATTTCATAATCAAACTGAGAGAATGCAAAACAATTAGAGCAAAGGGTTTTTTAAAAAAATGCTATACCAAAATCACCTCATGATGTATGTAGTCAAAATTTCAATATTTTTTTACATTTTGAACCAAAAATGCTTGTTAAAATGTGTATATTATATTGCTTTTGAATGCTGAAATGATATCAATTTTAACATTTATGAATCTTTAAATTATGAATAGCAGTATTAGTATTAGAAGAATATCTTTATTTTGATTTGGTACATGAAACTTAATATCTGGGACTTGATCCTAGCTTATCAGTTAGAAGACAGGGTATGATTTTGCATGAGTATTACAACTAGAACACAAGCTGCCTATTCTTGCTGCAATAAATCAGATTCCAAGYCATAATAAAAACTTTGCTTTTGTACCAGCAATATTTTATTCTGCACTAGTCTTATAGTTCATTTGTAACAGGAGGGTAACATTTCCAGAAGCTGTCTTAATTTCTTTTTAAATCCAGTGTTTGCAATCTATTAAAAAATCTATTTCTTTTGCAGTCTGACCCAGAAAATCTGTCATTACCCTTCCCCTCCTTGACAATGTCAAGTCCCTTATTGATTAGGTTTAGATCCTTATTACACAATGAAATGAAATCATAAAATGGCCTTTAATTATCAAAAATTCTCAGAAAAAAATGGAATTCACAACAGGTGTGGAGTTGTGAAAGTAGAAAATGAAATAATCATTTTGGTCATGGCTATTAAATACAGCTCTAATGTTAGCTTTAGTGATGTGCTAATAGAGATAATAGATGGACCAATAATACACTTTGTACAAGATGAGATTAATTAGAAAACAAAAAACTTTATATTGAATTACTCTTCCATAGGTTCATCTTGATCTGCTGATGGTGCTGTAGTGGGTTTCTTCTCACTTTCAGTTTCTTTGTTGTCAGCTAATCAAAGAAACAACCAAAATTAGTCACATATTACTTGAATCAAATTAGTATTACATGAAACTAAAAATGATATAACCTTCAATTTAGACAGCAGTGAGATTCCCAGCTTCATATCTTCATATGGTAGGCAAAACCCCTCACTGAGCTAAAACTTTGACTTTTGAGAAGATCTTATCTTAGCTTATAATCAAAATAAAAAATTTATTTAAGAAATTTGGTTGGGAATGTTAGGTCAATCTGCCAAAATAGCAAGCAACCTATCACCCTTAATAAGCTGTCATAATAGAAACCAATTTACTTATAGAGTTGCACTCCATATAATTGTGCAACAATTACTAACTAATTAGTGCATAACAATAGACTTTTTAGTTGTCGACTAAGTATTCACTCAGGCATGAACCAAACAAAGGAGTGTAGAGGCATTTGTTTTTGTTCCCAGTGTTCTGCTCCAGTGGAGTGCATAAAGTAAATCTTTGAAAAGCTTTGTAAGAAATTGCACAAGTTTGTGCAAATTAGTAAGTTCAGTGGACCTCATTAGACCATAGACCTACAAAACTTTGAACTAATTTGTACAACTTGATTATTTATTCTACTATATTTTTATAAAAGGATGCTTGCATGATGGCATCATTTGACTCCCACTACCATAATGCTGCACAAATTTTCTTTCTTATTTAGATTTGTGTTCCCTCATGAGAATAGTAAGACAATTGGTGCTAAGGGAGTCGGGTAGTAGAGGTCAATGACACCATCATGCAAACGTCCTATCATTAATTTTGGTTTTATACAATTTTGTTATTAACTTTTTCACAGATATATGGTATGCACACTAATATCTACCATTCTGTACACAATTTTACTATTTGCAATCAAACGTGGAGAGTTTGGTTTTGAAATGATTGGTTGTCTCCCAATTAGATGTGGCTTTGGGCGTGCGTCTAGAATTTGGAGTAAAAACTATCAAACTGTCATTCTATAGGTTTTAATGTCATGAACCATATTAAAGTTTCCCAGAGTAAACTAGTTTTGGTGTGGCAAGCAATCGTTTCAAATTAATGTAAACAAACAGTAAATATTTGCACCCTCCACACTTGCTTGCAAATAGTAGTAGTCTTGGACAATAAAACTTTGGTTTTGCGTCATGGATATATGGCATGCACTCTACATGTACTTACCGACTGCAACTGTCTCTTTTTTTGATTCATCACAATTATTAATACTCTTTTCCTCTTCAACAATATTTCCATTAGTTTCTTYTTTCTCTGCATCACATTTTTCTTTTTCTTCACAAACTTCTTTTAATTCTGTTTTCTCTTCTAAGGTTTTCTCTACAGCTTTATTATCCTTTTCACTATGCTCCTGTATCTCTGTTTCTGATTCTTTAATCCCAGAACTGTCATTTGTTTTATCATTAGAATTTTGCGTTGACTCTTTCTCATTTGATGTGCAGTCTTCTTCTTTGGCTTCGGTTTTAGCTTCTTCTATTTCTTCTTCTTCTAAGTGTTTGTTTTCTATGGAGAGAGATTCATTGCGTTTCTGCAATTCTTCTTCGGTTGGGTAGTGTGTTTCTGGGAAATGCTGCAAATGCCCATCATCACTGTCTCTGTTATCTACAGACTGCATTTCAGTTGGACAAGCTGTGGTTATAATGCCATTAGTGACAGGACCATTTGGTATACTGGTATTGTCATGGTTACCCTCTATGTTATTTGAAAGCCTAAAAAAGAGAATTACCAATTCATTAAACTACGCTGCTCATAGTAATATCTAATTAATAAAATTATGTTATTATTATTATTATTATCATTTWAAAAAAATCATGGTTGCATCATATGTCAATAGTCCTCTTCGCAGTTCCTCTGCCATTTTGAATAACTTATGATAACGAACATCAAAACAAGACCAACGGCAAGTTGTTTCTTTAAAAAAACCAGGGCCATCCAACAGTTTGAAGTATAAAATCTAGTATAAACGTTAGTCCAAGAAGGGAAATCAATGCTTGAGTTGTTTCTTCTTCTGTTGATCATAAGACAATGCAGTGTCTTCTATCGTCTCGGCAGATGTTATAAAGTGCTTTCTGTTTTCCTTTTTTCACTTTTCTGTTCAGTTTTGTTTAGTATGTACATTCTGTATGTGTCTCGTTTTGATGCTCATAATAATCATGATTTATTCAGTATGAGAGAGGAACATTAATTGAGGGGGACTATTCCACTGGTCTGGTCTTTTAACAAAAAATACTTACTCTTCTTCTCCATTCTCTGTCATTGTGCTCACTACCAGAACATTCTAATGAGACATCACAAAGATTGACAAATTAATTAACAAGAACATTCAGGACTGTCCAACAGAATATCAGAACAGAACAGACAACATCACTCCTTGCTAATCTATAAATCATTTTACTCTTGTTTAAATTAGATAATCGTAAACCTGTTTCACTTAAATTCCTACTTCAGATCATGTCATTTTCTTGTGTATGATTCCTTTGATCAACAGCAATGTTTGAAAAGGTTAAAAAATAATAATTTAATATGAAAACTCAAAGTTTTAGATCAAATTTATATTTTCAGGGGAATATGTTGCATCCAAATAAATATCCAGATGTTCATTGTGACATAGAAATAATGACAAGTCTGGAAAACKGAGGTGGAACATGAGGCATGTGAAAATAATTATTGATGAAAAAGAAAATATACTGGCCATTGCAATAAATATATAAAACTTTGTGTCACTGTTTGCAAACACTTATTAGCAACATTTTTTTACATTTAGAACAACTGTACTACGAACAATTTGAATTTTTTAAATTTTTTATTTCCCGAGTTTTTTTATTTTTTTAAACAGCATGAAGGAATAAGTTCAAATACATAAAGAGATCAAATTATTAAATCAATTTTAAATCAAGGAATGATTTACAGTATGCATATTAAAAAAACTGCACAGTCAATAAAAAAATCAAAGTATTCAAGGTTCAAGTGTCCTCACTGTAGTTGGTGGCCTGGAAATTCATAAGTTAAATAGAAAAAGTGACACCTCAGTTTTGCAAATTTTCTCAATTCTAATTGGCTAACATCTTTTTCAGATCAGCTGGATGGCCTTTATTACGAGTAAAAACCAGTTAGATTAGACTTTCTTACCTTTTCTATTCCTCTCATAAATTTCTCACTACATCTGTAATGTCTTTTTGGTTCGACTATTAACTCACATAACCGTTGCATAGTGAATGGTGCACTGCAAGATAATTGAATAAAATTTTCACCAAATGCATTTCTTGTTGTCAAAATATATCTTTTAGTTTAAGATAGCTTAATGATTAATCCCTTCCTTCCCATTCAGGGTTCCTAGCAAGGTRCACACTACAGCTAATAGCAGCCATCTTGGAATATTCCAAGAAGATCAAAGTGAAGCACCAGTTCATTCGTAAGGACTGGATTTTTTTTGGTACAGTATTGCGATCACCAACGACCATGGATTACAGAGATTATGATTATCAAAGACAYATACATTTGTCCAGGGTGGCTAGCACACAAATTCATAGATATATAGGTTATGCATTAATATTTTCTTTTATCCCATACTATAAAAATACAGTCAATTACCATGCAGGAAATTTGTTGTA